TTCTTCAAAGATTAAGGAGATTTGTGCCAAGTGGAATGATGTCCAAATGTTTGTGCAGAAGTACCACCCTGAGCAAGCTGAAATAAGCCATCCTTGCAACAAGTTCAGTGACAGAACCATGTCCCATTTTAGGGAAATGTTAAAGAGGTGCCAGAAACAGAGGACTAAGGACAGTTATTTTGTGAGACGGGTCCAGTGACTCTCAAGCTGGTCCTAGTGGCATTAAAAGACAGAGAAGGGAAGTAACCCCAAAGAGGGCTTTACCTGAAGTCCTCATGGAGGGGGATTCTCCTTCCAAACACTAACCCCAACTCCCTCTCTCCTCCTCCCTATCTTCCAGATGCCATCACCAATCTTCAATAAAGGTAAGTAAAAATGTTATTTTATATTTTATATTATATGTATGTATTATTTTATATGTATGTAAAACTGTAATTAATCTCTATAAAATGTATTTTTTGTGTGAATATTTTTGGGTTTCTGGAACGGATTAATTGTTTTTTTATTATTATTATCACACTGGCCGATTCCCACCAAGGCAGGGTGGCCCGAAAAAGAAAAACTCTCACCATCATTCACTCCATCACTGTCTTGCCAGATGGAGTGAATGATGGTGAAAGTTTTTCTTTTTCGGGCCACCCTGCCTTGGTGGGAATCGGCCAGTGTGATAATAATAATAAAAAAACAATTAATCCCTTCCATTATTTCTTGTAGGAAATATTGATTCGAATTTCAGACTTTTCGAAATTAGAACTAGCTCCTGGAACGGATTAAGTTCGATTTTTGAAGTTCCACTGTATGTATTGTTGTATTCTCGTTTTCATGGTCTCATTTGATAGAATGGAAAACATATTATAGAAATAGAAGTGATTTTGATTAGTTTTACTATGAAAGGAACCTTGAAATGGAGCTCAAAGTAGGGAAAATGTTTGATTTTTGCCAATGTTTAAAAGTAAACAAATGATGTCATTGCCCAATAAATGTCCAACTAGCCATTCTAATATGCAGAATGGGTTGACATTATTTATACAATTATTACAATATTGCAGTAGTCTGCACAACAGTCAATCTTCTATTTTTTGTTTGTTTATCTGGAGAGAGTTCCGGGGGTCAACGCCCCCGCGGCCAGGTCTGTGACCAGGCCTCCTTAGGTCAGTGTCCCGGGATGCGACCCACACCAGTCGACTAACACCCAGGTACCCATTTTGCTGATGGGGAACATAGACAACAGGTGGAAAGAAACACGTCCAATGTTTCTACTCTGGCTGGGAATCGAACCCAGGCCCTCACCGTGTGAAGCGAGAGCGTTAACCACCTGAATAAATTTACTTACTTACTTAACTTGTAGGTGCAACTAACAAAATAACAGCACACAGGAATTACATGAAAACTGTATGTGAGAGGTAAATTGTATAAATGGTTAACACTGAACAATTTAAATCAATAACTGAGGTGCAAAGATGCTGAATAAAATACTGGAATTTAAAATGAAGGAGTGCAAAATAAATGTACAAAATTTAAGAAGCTGTGGATAAGTGGCAAAATGTGCACTGATGACACTGAACAATTTACTGAAGTATGGCTTCAGTAACTGTAACTGTATTGGTGCAGGACAGTTAAATAATGTCACAAAATATTAGGAAATGCTAGGTAAGTCACTGTTTACTTAACTTTGAGTGCAGGAGATGGACGAAGGTACTGGTGCTGCAGGTCCTGAAACTTTCTCTACCTTCCTTAGAAAAGCTGACATTTCATTAAAGACACAGTTTGAATAAAAATTCAAAATAGAATGCAAGAGTAATATCAGAGGGGCCTGGAGACATGACTGATGAACAAAGAAAATGTTATTTTTGAGCCAGGAATATCTGCATTGTTCATTCTGGACCCTATTTTGAAACTGGCATATTTTTTAATTTTCATGAAATTGGCCAAATTGCCAATTTCTGACCACTTTATTGGATAGTTGAAATCGGTAAATGGGAGGTTTCTTGTACTCAATCAATAGAACAAATGGAGTTCTAAAGAAATAGTTATGAGCTTGGCCAACTGGAACAATGGAATTAGCCAAAAATAGGGCTCAAAGTGGAGAAAATCGCCTATTCGTTAATATCGCTGAGGTTGCTACTTTGCGAGAGCATAATTCCATAAATTTTACATCAAATATCATACTTTTGGTGTCATTACCATTGGGAAAAAATTCTCTACCATTTCATAAGAAAAAATAATTTTTCTTTTTTTTTAAATTTTTGTGACACCAGGAGACGCCTCTGAATTTGGGGTTGCGACAGTCAAGGGGTTAAATGAGCATGCAGGTTAGTGTTCACTCAAGCATCAACAAAGCCAGACTGGCGACACGTGCGCAGGATGCAGACAGAGTGGGTTGATGGACAGGTCCGGTACCTGGCGGTTCAAAAGACAGGGCACGTTCAATAATCAGGACAAAATTGATTCGAAACTCAGAGTTTTATAATCGATACGTTCAAAACTCGGGGTTCCACTGTGTATACATTTATAAATGGAAAAAAAGGGCATTCCACTTTATGGCAGTAGCCTGGAACCCAACTTGCCATATAAGTAGGGCCCTACTGTATCTCTGGGAGATTGCATTGGCATCACCAGGTGATATACACACAAAAAGTAAACTTTGCCAAATGGACAATTGTCACACCTTGCATTATGTGCTGTAATGCAATAAAATTAATGAATTCAGAAACAACTCACTCAGAAATGATCAGGAAAACTTAGGTATTTTATCCAATCATTCTGGAAAAGTACCCTGACTTTGCCTACTGTAAATAACTCATAACCACTTAAACCTGTTTAAATTCAACCATACCTTGCTAAAATATAAGGTAATACAAATAATTCAGAACCATATATAGGCTACACTAATATTTTTGTGACTTAATTCATGTTTCCATAAAAAAAATAATTACAATTGTAACCAGTTACAAGCATGTAAATAGTTCATTACCACTGTAATTTGTTTAGCTATCAAAACCCAGGGACACAGTCCCTGGACCCATTGTGTCTGTAATATTTTGACTACTGTCTACAACATGGATATGTGGTGCATAATAAAGATAATAAACTAATTAAAAACTTAATTACACACAATGAGTACCTTCAGTGCACTTTGCAAACAATGCCGACTGCATAATGACTGTAAATCACACATACTAAGTACCCTATAGAAAAAGAATATCATGTAATATGGACTCCACATGAAGCAAGGGAGACCTATGCTGGTAGTATTCAGGCAAGGGCTATGGCACATTATTCATGTTTTGTGACAATTTTACATGAAAATTTTGTGCACACAATAAGATAGTTTACATTAAAATGGGAAGAAGAAATTAAACATGTTGCATAGTACTGAAGTACAAATATTTATGAAAACTGAGTACATGTCGGCCATCACTAATCCAGAAATCAGTAATCTGGTGCTAATTTCAGCTAGTATAATTCTAAATTTCTAGGGTTACCACACCAACCTGCTGCTACTGTTTGGTGGTGCTAATTGCTGCATAAATCATCACAATTTTTTTTCTCCAATTATTGTTATAACCTGCTCACTTTTAGACCTAGCCATGGTTCCAATGAATAAAAAAAATGCTTCTCGTTGTTTAAAGCACATACACCATACATTGTCCATAAAAGATAAGGCAGCTTTGAAGCCACTGTTGGTTGCCATGAGCTCAGCTCACTCAGGTAAGCTGTGACCGGTAAATTTGCACCTACATATGAGAATAGGTCTGTGTGGTAAGCGTGCACTATATAAAAAAGAATCCTGCAACATGCAATGCATGAGAAAAACTGTGACCTTGTTTTTGGTGTAAAACAACGACTGTGGTGTATTTATGTAAGAGTTTTATGGTTATAGCCTCTTTTTTTGGTCTCAATTAATAGAATGGAAGCTATATTACAGAAATAGATATGATTTTGATTGGTTTTATGACAGAAAGTACCTTGAAATTGAGCTCAAAGTAACGGAAACGTTCAATTTTTGCCAATGTTCAAGAGTAAACAAATGACGTCACTGTCCAATACCTCAACTGGCAGTATAATGTGCAGTCATGAATGGGCTGACATTATTTATACAGTTATAACAATAACTGTATAAATGTTGCAGTTTAAAAACTGTAGTGTAAAGCACCCTTCTGGCAAGACAGTGATGGAGTGAATGATGGTGAAAGTTTTTCTTTTTCGGGCCACCCTGCCTTGGTGGGAATCGGCCAGTGTGATAATAAAAATAATAATAATAACAATAATGCAGTAGTCTGCATAACAGTATTTTTTGTGTATACCTGGAGAGGGTTTCGGGGGTCATCAACCCCGCAGCTTGGTCTGAGACCTGGCCTCATGGTGGACCAGAGTCCGATCAACCAGCTGTTACTACTGGCCACACCCAAACTGACATGCGAACCACAGCCTGGCTGGTCAGGTACTGACTTTAGGTGCCTGTCCAGTGCCATCTTGAATACAGCCAGGGATCTGTTGTGTGAATAAAAAATTCAAAATGGAAAGCAAGCATAATATAAGAGTGGCCTGAGAAAGCAGAGAAAATGTTATTTAGTGCCAGGAATGTCTGCATTGTTTATTTTGGACCCTATTTTGAAATTGCCATCTCTTGAAATTTGTTTGAAATTGGCCAAATTACCGATTTCTGATCACTTTATTGGGTAGTTGAAATAAGTAAATGGGCAGTTTCTTGTACTCAGTCAACAGAATAGAAAGAATACTAGCGAAATAGCTATGAGTTTGGTAGGCTGGAACAATGGAATGGGCCAAAAATAGGGCATAAAGTGAGCAAAATAGCCGATGTGTAAATATCCTCGTTGGGTTAAGTGTATTCTAACCCAACCACTGTGTAATCAAGTAAAATCACTAATCCGGCACCCTACAGGTCCTGATGATGCCAGATTAGTGATAGTCAACTCGTACATTCATAAAGTGCATCAAACCTGCATGAGTTATAGAGTATGCGATTAGCAACTAACCTCCATCAGCAAGCGCCAGGAGCCTTGGGAGATCCCTATAACTGTCAGGACCAGCGACCACATCTATGCTTCTCTCTTGTTCTACAAGTTTCTTCTTAAGTCTCTCAGCCATACATCCCAACACTCCAATCTTCATTGGTACAAATTTCTTGTTTAACGAGCGCTTGTTTTTCAAGCCTTGAAGATAGTCAAGCTTATTATAAACTTTCTGTTCGGCTCCTTCCCGGATAGAGCAGGTGACAACCAACACTACGTCAGCGTTCTCTCTCTTATTGGTCAGGACATAGCCATGTTTATTAAGAATAGACCAAGCCAGCTCGGCATCACTCACGTTCATCTGGCAACCATACACATCAAAGTATACCTTGCGACCATTACCATTAATATCAGTAACATCTACATATGGGTGAGAAACCATCTCTAACTCTCTTTTAGAAAAGTTCCTTGTTCCCTTCTCAAAATGATTATTATTTGCAATAAAATAGTGTAGTCCCGGGCCCGGGGGCAGGTTTCTTTTCTCCTTCACTTCAACACTAGTGTCCAGGGTACTAGACGACGTCTCAACACTGCAATATTGTCTAAAGTCTTGTCTAGTACTAAAACTATACCAGTGTAACTGATGACTACTATAATATCTACCTGGGTGAAGAACATTACACGAGTTATGTACCCAGCTACAGTTTAGTACTGAGAGTGAAGATGAGTGTAACTTGGGTTTATTGTTCACCCTCAAGCACTCTCCAACACTGCCACAGAAAAAAGTTACTAATCTTTTATTTGCGGCTGTTGCTAAGAAACTGCGGTGCTTGGCAGCAGAAAACATGATGATTCTCAGACTGTAGACACCTTCAGTGTCTTGTTATTGTTGGGTACAAGGGCTGTGACGGTCATGTATGTTCTTACTGTTGTTGGGTACAAGGGCTGTGACGGTCATGTATGTTCTTATTGTTGTTGGGTACAAGGGCTGTGACGGTCATGTATGTTCTTATTGTTGTTGGGTACAAGGGCTGTGACGGTCATGTATGTTCTTATTGTTGTTGGGTACAAGGGCTGTGACGGTCATGTATGTTCTTATTGTTGTTGGGTACAAGGGCTGTGATGGTCATGTATGTTCTTATTGTTGTTGGGTACAAAGGCTGTGACGGTCATGTATGTTCTTACTGTTGCTGGGTACAAGGGCTGTGACGGTCATGTATGTTCTTAATGTTGATGGGTACAAGGGCTGTGACGGTCATGTATGTTCTTATTGTTGTTGGGTACAAGGGCTGTGACGGTCATGTATGTTCTTATTGTTGTTGGGTACAAGGGCTGTGACGGTCATGTATGTTCTTACTGTTGTTGGGTACAAGGGCTGTGACGGTCATGTATGTTCTTATTGTTGTTGGGTACAAGGGCTGTGACCGTCATGTATGTTCTTATTGTTGTTGGGTACAAGGGCTGTGATGGTCATATATGTTCTTATTGTTGTTGGGTACAAGGGCTGTGACGGTCATGTATGTACTTATTGTTGTTGGGTACAAGGGCTGTGACGGTCATGTATCTTCTTACTGTTGTTGGGTACAAGGGCTGTGGAAAATTGCATTTATCTGAATGTATCATTATGTACACAACAGTAAATGAACAAAGATAATTATTATTTATCAGTTAGACAAGTAGGAATTTGGGACACCTAGGTCGAAAAAAATGTCCCCCTTCGATACCTACCACTGTCATATCCACAAGTTGCTCTGGACCTATTAATTATAAATGAAATATACATACACCAAGAATGCTGGTAAATATATAAATTTGTGGACTGTATATTAAAATTAAAAAATCATTATATATAAACATATTTACATAACATAAGGAAAATATCTTAATATCACTCACCAATTTGACTGGAGATTAATGTGTCATGTACAGGAACCCCCCCCCCCTTTTGCCTACATTTATGAAAAATTTACCTGGAGAACCTGGAGAGAGTTTCGGGGGTCAACGCCCCCGCGGCCCGGTCTGTGACCAGGCCTCCTGGTGGATCAGCGCCTGATCAACCAGGCTGTTGCTGCTGGCTGCACGCAAACCAACGTACGAGCCACAGCCCGGCTGATCAGGAACTGACTTTAGGTGCTTGTCCAGTGCCAGCTTGAAGACTGCCAGGGGTCTGTTGGTAATCCCCCTTATGTGTGCTGGGAGGCAGTTGAACAGTCTCGGGCCCCTGACACTTATTGTATGGTCTCTTAACGTGCTAGTGACACCCCTGCTTTTCATTGGGGGGATGGTGCATCGTCTGCCAAGTCTTTTGCTTTCGTAGTGAGTGATTTTCGTGTGCAAGTTCGGTACTAGTCCCTCTAGGATTTTCCAGGTGTATATAATCATGTATCTCTCCCGCCTGCATTCCAGGGAATACAGGTTCAGGAACCTTAAGCGCTCCCAGTAATTGAGGTGTTTTATCTCTGTTATGCGCGCCGTGAAGGTTCTCTGTACATTTTCTAGGTCAGCAATTTCACCTGCCTTGAAAGGTGCTGTTAGTGTGCAGCAATATTCCAACCTAGATAGAACAAGTGACCTGAAGAGTGTCATCATGGGCTTGGCCTCCCTAGTTTTGAAGGTTCTCATTATCCATCCTGTCATTTTTCTAGCAGATGCGATTGATACAATGTTATGGTCCTTGAAGGTGAGATCCTCCGACATGATCACTAACAGGATACCTCATTATCAGACCAAATTACAGTGTCGCTAATATTTATCTCATGCATCACTACAAGCTCGGAAGGGTCATGTTACTAAATCATACAACAAGTGTATGGAGTTAATGGGACAAGAAACGGTGAACCCTGATGAATTAAAGTTACACCTAGATGCCTTAGAAAATAGATATGAATCATATAAATTGTGGTACAAGGACTGTGAGAGAGATCTACTGGTGAATTGTGCAGATGATGCTGAAAGGGAGCGGCTGCTGGATCAATATTATGAAGTGGAGGACAACATCGTGTCCTGCAAAACTAAGGCTTTGGAGAAGTTAAAGGTGTAAACAATGTTGATGGTCAACCTAGTAAGGAAAATCAGAGGTGTCTACCAAAACTCCCAGAATTATGCATGCCTGTGTTTAATCCGGGAGAAAACTGGGAGGAGTTTTGGTCTATCTTTAAAGAAGTCGTATATGATAGGAGTGATCTTGCAAGTGTTACCAAATTATGCTATTTAAAGGGACAAGTAAGGGGAGATGCGCATGTTCTCATACAAGCATTCCCAAATGTAGATGACTCCTATAATGAGGCAGTTGACTTGTTGGAGGTCACTTATGGTAACTTGGAGCAAAGTAGGCTGGATCTAGTAGCTATTTTGGCTAGTTTGAAGACTCCAGATCACAACCGCAACTGCTTACAGCAATTTAGGATCAAACTAGAAAGCACTCTTAAGACCTTGAGTAATAAATATGATCTGGAGGGAGCAGAGTGGTTGTTGAGTGCCTTGATTCAGAATAAATTGAACCACAAGACAGTAGAGTGGCTATCTAACAGATATCACAAGGGTTACTTCGGGTTGGAAGAAATAAGAGTGGGCCTGCAGGAGCTAATTGTCCAACTGCAGACCAGCCAACCCATTACCTTTAGGAATACCACGTCTACAGACCCCAGTGCACCTGTCAAGTTCTACAAAAGGAAAATTTATCCCAATATCAATAATCATAATTCACCTACTAAAAGGGGTTACGTAGGCACATATCAAGTGACAGGGGCCAGTAATAGTGGTTCTTGGAAATATAAACACAAATGCAGTATAATGTGATCCTTTATTGACAACGTTTCACCCACACAGTGGGCTTTCTCAAGTCACACACGGATCTACCTGGGGTTGGAAGGTACGAGAGTATTTATAGTCAGAATGTTGAGGTCAGGTGAAGAATGCTGCATCTGATGATCCACCGGGTGGGGTTATAGAGTCTTGGGTAGCTTGGCAGGGGTATTGGACAAGTTGTAGACCTTCTGCAGTGTACTATGTTCTTATGTGGGATAGCGATGAAGAAGTTTCTTGGCGAGTGGTTCAGCTATGTTATAGAAGCCATTGTTCTGGTTGAAATTGTTGGTTATAGAGATAAGCGATGATTCCAGGATTCTTCTGTATTGAGTGTTGTCTTCTGTGGCTATAAGTATTGAGTTTCTGTAGTTAATTAAATGGTTGTGTGAATTGCGATGCTGTACACAGGCATTCCTTGTATCGTCAGTCCTGCTTGCGTATTGGTGTTCTGAAATGCGTGTTTGGAGGTCTCTTGATGTTTCGCCCACATATAATTTGTTGCAGTCATTACAAGGGATTATGTATACCCCTGCAGAGGATGGAGGCTTGTCCTGTCTACTACTGGTGATGTCCTTGATGGTCGTGGTTGTGGAGGTAGATACTTGGAATGATGTTTTGGCAAAGATGTTGGAAACATGTTTGGCAATGGAGTTGTTGGGGAGGACTATGTATCTCTTCTCGGCAGTGTCTTCTCTGGGTGTGTTGAAGATGTTTAATGCCCGCCGTCTGCAGTCTCTGATGAAGTGACTAGGATAGTGGAGTTTGGAAAATACTTGTTCAATTATAGTGCATTCTTCCTCAAGGAACTCATTGCTGCAGATTCTGAGTGCACGTAGGAAGAAGCCTATAATCACACCACGTTTGGTTTTGGTGTCGTGGTGAGAGTAGAAGTGGAGAAGATCGTTTTGGTTGGTGGGTTTTCGATAGACTTTAAAACGAAGTTCGTGGTCAGCTTTGCAGAGCAGAACATCAAGGAAAGGAAGAGTGTTGTCGACTTCTTCTTCAAGTGTGAACTGGATTGAAGGCTCGACCTGGTTGAGCTTGTCTTGGAGAGCTTGAACGTTGAAGCGTTTAGGAGTTATGAGGAGAATGTCGTCAACATAACGGAGCCAGGTGACAGACGAAGGAATAATGGTGGAGAAACGTTCGGCTTCTAGATGTTCCATGTATAAGTCCATGCAGAAGGTCTACAACTTGTCCAATACCCCTGCCAAGCTACCCAAGACTCTATAACCCCACCCGGTAGATCATCAGATGCAGCATTCTTCACCTGACCTCAACATTCTGACTATAAATACTCTCGTACCTTCCAACCCCAGGTAGATCCGTGTGTGACTTGAGAAAGCCCACTGTGTGGGTGAAACGTTGTCAATAAAGGATCACATTATACTGCATTTGTGTTTATATTTCCATTGTGTCGGTATTTTATACCATTTATTACCAATAGTGGTTCTTCACATCAAAGCAAGAGGAGTAAGTACCACAATAAGGGTAGCCCAGTTGATAAGAGGTCAGGCAAAGAAAGGAGAGATTGTATCTTCTGCAACGGTAATCATTTCTCTAAGAACTGTAATGCCTATAATTCATGGGATGTTAAAGTGGAAAAATTGGAAGAGCTTGCTAGATGTATCAGGTGTCTAGGAAATCATAATGTAAGGGACTGCCGTGCTAACTTGAACCATTGTTATCAGTGTAACAAGGGAAGGCACCACATAGCAATGTGTAAGGGCGGATCTAATTTTAATGATGGTAACAATAGTACTGATAGTAATAATAACCCGGACACAACAGTAGCCAACATAGAGATTGCAGCTAATGTCGGTAATGATGGCCTAGCTGAGGTAGCTTTACCTGTGTTGGATGTCGTGATTAATGATAAACGGCATAAATCCAAAACTGTAACAGCATTACTGGATCAGGGATCACAACGTACCTTCATAAAACGTAATTGCCTTAATGGGATGAAGGTACAAATGGGAGGTCCTGCTATACTCAAGTTACCTGGCTTTCTCTCGAATAAGAAGGCCCAGTCATACGACACTGTTTATGCAACTGTCAGGCTGGGCAATGAGAGAAAACGTATTAATGCCGTAATTGTGGATAGGCTCCCAGAGAAAATATCTACAATAGG